TTTCGGTATGGTATTTTTTTTTCAATATTTTTTTTGACAATTGGAACAAATTCTAGACCCAATAGTAGAAAAAAATTATCACTTTAATGGACAATTTTCATAAAAAATAAAGTCAAACAAACACCAAACTTTCAACATTTTTCAGGTGGAAAATTATATCAATCAAACACAATTAATTACACTTCTTAGTAAAACAATTTTTAGACAATTCAATTCCCTGTAATTCATTTTCTTTCCACCTATTTGCCACATTTGCAATCAAACGGACCCTAACAAAATGTCGAAAGAAATAGAAATTTTTCACATGGATTGAATAAGAATTGATATTAATAGAAGACAAAGAAAAACTATACTTACACTTAAAGGGAAGATTTAATAACTAAGCGGTTTAGTTTTACCAATTTTAAATTTAAGAGATTATGTTTAAAATTTCAATTCTCAGAGTTTTTTAAATTTTATTTACAAGTTAATTAATTAAACATATATTTTATTAATTAAATATATTAAGGTCACAATTCCATATAATTGGTCACAAATCACAATTATTAAATATATTAATTTCACAATTCCATATAATTTTGTCACAAATTCCATATAACTTGTCACAAATCACAATTTTCATGTCACAAATTATTTTGCAGTCACAATTCAAAAATTTTATAGGTCACAATTTGTTCATCGATCACAAATAAAAAATTTATACATCCCAATTTATTCATCGATCACAAATCTATCAAATTAATAAGTCACATATTGTTCATTGGTCATAAATCACAAATTTTATGTGTTACAATTTTTTTTACGGTTACAATTCAAAAAATTTATAGCTCACAATTTGCTCATCGCTCGCAAATCAAAAATTGAAACGTCACAATTTATTTATAGGTCACAAATCACAAATATTATAAGTCACAACTTATTAGATAGTCACGAATTATCAAATTATCGATCACAAATTAACAATTATTTAGGTCACATATTATTTTTTTTTTTGTCACAATTTATCTTTTTCATTAGTCGAATATTGTTTATCGGTCATAAAATAATCAATTTAATGGTCACAAACAACCAAATAATCTGTGACCACCACCAACACTTGTGACTACCGTCTCACCACTGTCACCACCAGCATGGCAACTGAAACCCAATCGCCGAAACCACCACCACCTCCTGGCAGCAAACCATCATCTAAAAAATACCGACATCACCACGAACACCACTACCCACCAACAACAACTGCACCATCATCCCCATCCTACAACCCAAAAAACTTTTCTAACCCTACCACCATTGTCGTCGTCGTTGCAACACAGATCACCACCACCACCGCACACCGCACCACCCACAGCACACCACCACCACCATCTTCTCTATCTCCATTTACACCACACCACACCCAACCACCACCTCACCACGGATAAACTGCCATGCCTACACCACACCACCACCACCAATACCGCACACTGCATAAATCTATCGCACACTGCATAGATCCACCGCCCACCATCTTCTCTATCTCCATGTACAGCACCACCTCACCACAGATCCATCGCCACACCATTTACACAGCCACATGTTGCGATAGAAAGAAAATGGAGAATGGGAAGAGGGAGAGGAGAGAGCAGCAGCAGCAGCATCGCTGCACGCGAACATCGTGTGCAACTGACTGGTTGGTCGCCGAAGCCGAAGCAACTTTTGTTTTACTTGTTAATGTCGAACCCACCGGAGGTGGAGGGGGAGGGGAAGAAAGCGTAGATAATGTTTGGGATTTTTGGATTTTTAGGGTTTAGGTAGTATTAAAATTTAAAATTAATATTTGATTTTTGTATAAATAAATTTTATATCTGATTTTTGAAATTGAATCTTTAAAATTCTGGTGTTGTGTAATTTCCTATACATTTAAATACCTTCATTGGGCTTTCAGTGGTGGGATGTTGATAATTGTTAAGGGGGAAAAATACATTACCATATTTTCGAAATATACTTTTAAACCTTTTTTAAAAAATAAAAAATTAACCATTTATCAAGACGAGCCAACGAGCTCGACTCCCAGGCTCGGTTCATGGGCGAGCTCGTTGGCTCGCCTAGCGAGACAGTCCGCTCGGCTCGTGCTCATCATTTGACGAGCCCGAGCTGCCTTTTCACTAGCCGAGCGGTCGAGCCAATGAACTGCTCAGCCCGTTTGCCAACACTATGGATACTTGACAATATTTGTGGAAGGGAGAAAATTCAAGTAAAAAAATCTTCAAAAAATTAAGAAACCCAACCACATGACTTAAAATAGTGGAAAATCAAGAATTACATTATAGCTTGAGAACAAATATTTTTTTCTTAATAAATCTTATTTGATCCATAAATAAGGCATGACAGAGCCTATAATTTAATTGTGAATAATGATTAATTTTTCTACTCTTAAAACGAATTAACATAAAAAGATACTAATTAGATATATAACTATGAAATATGAACAAATCGTAATCCACACATTAAACTCCCTCTATTTGAATAAAAATGAAAAATTATATTTTAAAGAGAATCACGAAGTCTAGATAACCAAAAAGGTACACTACAGTGCAACCTACGAATATATCAAGTTCAATTGATACGCGTTATAAAAAAATTAAAAAAAACACTTACGTTTATAAACAATGCAAGAAAATTAAAAGTTGAAATTGCAAAGAATGAATGTTTTGATTCATCAACTTACATCACAACCCAAACTTTGATTTATATAAAGTCCAAATTACAAAGATTAACGTGTACCAACCTTTGAAATGCAATAATTTGGTATGAGGCGATAGGCATAAAAGTAGGTGCCAATTTTGATTTCTTAAAAGTTAGAATCTAGAATTTTATACAAATTATTACCGAAATTAGAATTTTTAAATTTTACATTTTTACCGGCCTATAAATTATAAAACATTATATTCAAAAATTGATTCCATTTGGTACCCACGATTCTGATTCAACAATCGAGAATCGACTCGATTTCGATTTCCAATTTTTTTTTATTTTTTTTGGAATTGGACCAAAACCTCCGCCGGTTCGATTTTAGTTCGAGAGGTTCGATTCTGATTAAATGTACAGGCCTAATAAAAACACAATTTATAGTTACAATTACATACTAATAATAAAATCACATATGACCACAGTCACATACTACACAATTTGTGAATCGCAAATTCTGTATTAAACTCCTATTTGGTGTGGATTAAAATCTGAATTAAAATTAAAGTAAAAGTCGACAATTAATTGTAACCAAATATTCTATGGACACCACAGTTTTGAACAATACATTTAATCAAATTTTATCAAAATTTACTAAAAATCATATTCTAGTTACACCAAATAGGGGCTATGTTTCAAATTACAAAATTAACAAATTATTTATTTTTAAAAAACCACAACAAACTGGTCACAATCACTCTTCACCTTACACAACCTCACCAAACCCCACGCCACTCCACCACCATAAACACCATCCAAATTGTCAACATCACATTAAATTTGCAACTACCACCACCTCAAACAAATAAGCAATTTGAAAACATATCGAAGACAACCTATGGAAACATTACACGGGATCCCCATCGACTGCAGTGCCAACACTTGCAACCCTCCAATCGCTTAGCGTCTGCGTGCCACCACCAACAAACCTATATTTGACCATCTCAAAACATCCATCAAGGTTGAGTCCTGAATCGAATGTTTCACAATCACCACTTGCACGCAACCCATAGTCATCGCCTCAACCATCCACGCTATGTCAAGTAGAAATTTGACTCCGTTTACCCATCCCATTTTAAATAACTCAAAGATGAAGACGTTGAAGCATTCTCCAATAAGGCAAAGACGACATGAGCCCTAGCTCATGGGTGGTGGCGGCGAACAACATGTGAAGGTGGAGTGGATTTTTGAGAATGAGAGAAAGGCTCCGACGTAATATTAGAAGATCAATCATTCTATATAGACAAAATGGTTGACATAATGTCACATGACAACTTATCATTAGACTGTTTAAAAAAGTCATTTTTTTCATCCTATCTCATCTTACCAACACTTATTATGTTACCCTATATGTCACCTACTTTCTAACAAAGTAACATTATTCTTAGAAGAATTGAATTGGAGACAGGATGGTGTGGAGTGGGTGTGTTGATGGATTGGGGGTATTAATATACCTAATTTTTTAATTTTAAAAAAACTATTACTACCTGATTTTTAATATGAAATTTGAAATGTAGTAATCTAGGTAATTTTCTCCCATTATAGATTTTTTAAGAATTTATCATGGATTCAAATTTGACACTTAAAAATTATAGTGAAACATGGATCAAGATTTTATTGGAAACAGCTAGACGGATAGCAAAAATGGGACAATAGATGTAGCATTAAGACAAATCGTACCTGAAATGCTAAGAAAAAACAGTTGGAATTAGAAATACTAATGCAGTCAAAGGTTGGGGATGGAGTATGCAATTTAGCAGAATTTTATTTCACTTTAGCTCAATTTTAGCACAGTGGGTGCACAATTTTAAAGTCAAGATGAAGCCACCCTTCTGTTCTGTACACTGGCAAAACCCCCATGAGTTCCGACGCCAACCTGTTTGTTGGTGATTGAGAAAATGGCCTTATTTGTTAGTTTTCACGCCCATGTCAAACCTATAACTCACCATTATGTCTTGCCCAAAGCTTCATACACAATTCAAAACCATGAACCCGTAATCAAGAACCAAAATTTGAAGTCAGATACCAGTGTTAAAAGAAGACGAGCAAAACGAATCAAAACATTAGTTGACAAAGGTAGTATCTCGTCGACAAGAAGGCTTTTATCTTATGTGGAATCGGGGTGTTTAGAAGATGCCCTCCATGTGTTTGAGAATATGAGTGACTCAAGTACTTTCATATGGAATGTGATAATAAGGGGACTAGCCAATAACGGGTTCTTTGAAGAAGCTATTTATTATTATCACCGTATGCAGTTTGAAGGTGTAGAAGTCGATTCTTTTACTTTTCCATCTGTAATCAAGGCGTGTACTGCGATTTTTGCCACGATAGAGGGACAAAAAGTTCACTCGAGGATAATTAAGCTTGGTTTGGATAGTGATATTTACATCTGCAATGCTCTTATATTGATGTATGCAAAAGTCGGATATGTAAAGGATTCTGATGAAATATTTGAAGGTATGCATGTTAAGGATTTGGTTTCTTGGAATTCTATGATCAGTGGGTATGTTTCAGCTGGCGATGGTCAGAGCTCCTTGATGTGTTTCAGAAAAATGCAGGCAGATGGATTACAACCTGACAGGTTTAGCATTATTAGTGCTTTGGGTGCTTGTGCTCTCGGGCATTTTTTGTTGAATGGAAAGGAAATCCACTGCCAAGTGATTAGGAGACGGTTTCAATTAGATTTAATGATAGGGACTTCACTTATTGACATGTATGGAAAATGTGGTCTAGTGGATTACGCGGAAGGGGTATGTAATACCATTTCTCAAAAGAACGTGGTTGTTTGGAATGCAATGATAGGTGCATATGCTGTGAATGATAAATCATTTAAGTCATTTACTTGTATGAGGGAAATGCAAGAGAATGACAATTTGAATCCTGATATTGTCACATTGATAAACTTGCTCCCCTCTTGTGCAAAACTGGAAGCTCTTGTGCACGGCAAAGCCATCCATGGTTATGCCATTCGAAAAGGATTTCTTCCTCATTTAGTATTAGGGACTGCTTTAGTTGACATGTATGGTAAGTGTGGGAGGCTGAAATTGGCTGAAGGTATGTTTTTCTACATGAAGGAAAGAAACTTAATATCATGGAATGCCCTGATTGCTGCTTATGTGCAGAATGGCTATGCCAGGAAAGCTTTGGAAATGTTTCAAGATTTGCGGAACGAAAATTTTATCCCAGATGAGATGACATTTGCTAGTATCCTGCCTGCATACGCTGAAAAGGCCTTGCTAAAAGAAGGGATGCAAATTCACAGCTATATATGTAAATTGGGTTTTGCTCCTAGTACATTCATCTCCAACGCAATTATGTACATGTATGCAAAATGTGGGCATCTTCAGACTGCAAAAGAAATTTTCGATAGTATGTTGTTTAAGGATCTTATTTCATGGAACACGATCTTATTAGCTTATGCCATCCATGGGTTTGGAGCATCTTCCATTAGATTATTTTCTAAGATGAGGGAAGAGGGTATTGAACCGAATGGAAGCACTTTTGTTTCGCTTTTATCATCCTGCAGCATTTCTGGGATGGAGGATGAAGGTTGGGAGTATTTTAATTCGATGAAAAGGGATTATGGAATCGATCCTGGAATAGAGCACTATGGCTGTATGCTTGATCTACTAGGACGTGCCGGTAATCTTGACTTAGCTAAATGCTTTATTGATGAAATGCCTATAACACCAACTGCCCGGATCTGGGGATCTTTGCTGGTTGCGAGTAGACATCATAGAAACATAGAACTAGCTGAGCTAGCTAGAAACCATGTGTTGTCATTGGATCATGATAATACTGGATGCCATGTCTTGCTCTCAAACATGTATGCTGAAGTCGGCAGATGGGAAGATGTAGAACAGGTTAGATGTTGGATGAAGAGCCAAAGATTAGAAAAAACCATTGGATGCAGCATAGTTGAGTACAATAGTAAAACATACCGGTTCACCAATCATGATAAATCACATATTAAGAGTAACATGATTTATGAAGTTCTCGATATGATTTCGCGGAAAATAGGGGAATATCAGTATGTCCCTGACGTCACTAAGTTCAAGACAAAAGATTTGTTGAAGAAAAGGGATAATGCTCCTTTCTGCCACAGTGTGAGATTAGCTATTTCATTTGGCTTGATCTCTACATCGGTTGGCAACCCTGTGCTCGTTAGAAAAAACATTACAATATGTGAAGATTGCCATAGTGCTGCAAAAAAGATATCAGAGATAACTAAAAGAGAGATTATAGTAGGGGACTCAAAAATATATCACCATTTCAGGGATGGGCGTTGCTCGTGTAGAGATTATTGGTGAATCCATTGTTTGAAGGACAAGAATACTTGTAAAATTTTAGCTTGAGATTTCTGGATTCAGTAGGTATCACTGGTTCGTCTTCACATTCTTCAAAATGTACCAATGTGGTCAAATTGGTAAGGTGAATCGGCTAATACTTACTCCTTAACGAGTGTGGATGGCATCAGAACATCAGATGTGAAATGCTGCTATTATTGGGAGTTTTATTAGATTGTCAAGGAAGTCGGAATTCAGGTAAACAGAAGAGGAGATAGGTGTGTTGTGTATCTTAAAAGAAAGACATGGTAACTATTTACAGGTTCATTGAGATCATATTGGACATCTGTATAAACTATTTTAATGGGAGCTTGAGAAACTGTTTAGGAAAAAATGTGGTAGTTAAACGAGTGTTAATAAATGCTCAACATCGCAAAAATTTGTTCAAGATGTTTTCAAGTCTGGTTATTGGGTTGTGTACCCATATAATATAGTTTTGTTGCTATAAAATAGAGATTTTTTTAATAAATAAATTCTGTTTTTATTTATTTAAAGTGTTAATGCATTTTACTGTGGGCGTGTTCGGTTGAGATTAAAATCGAATTAAAATTGAAAAACTAGTCGTTATTGTTGACTTTTATTAGACGAGTGAGATCCAATAACTGTTACATTTTCAATTTTAATTGAATTTTAAATACGATCGAACACGCTCTGAATGTTGAGCATGTGAATAAAATTATCAATGATCACAGGTGATAATATAAATTGGGTGCCTTCTTGGAGAAGTACAAAGTAATACAACTTATTCTTTGATTATCATTAAAACTATTCACAATGTATGAGGGTTGACATCTTGTATTGAAAGGCTACAATATTGATAGATTCACTATTCAGAATGCAATACGTCATTATCGTAGAAATAGTTTAAAGGTAACAATAGTACACTTAAAAGTGTATTGAACGTACTGGCGGACCCGGGGGACTTTTGAGAAGTTTTTTTTTCTTGATAAAGTCTTGTTTGGATCTATTGAAATCTAAATTTTAAGAATAATTCTATTTGTACAACAAAAAATGTACATAAGAGTGTACACCCTCCTCACATGGGGTGGGACCCGCTTGAATAAAAAATATGGGAGGGGGGTGTACACCCCTATGTACATGATGATGTACCACTAGCAAAATCGAAATTTTAATTTAAACCAAATTTAACAATTAATTTTAATAACATATTTCATGAAATCCATAACTTTTCAACTTTTATCAAAATTTATTAAAAATCTAATTTTAATCCACACCAAACAAAAGTGAAAAACACAATAAATTTGATTTTTTTTTCTCTTCTTGTCTTTTACTCTCTCCCTCACACTTTTTATCAAAACCTTAACCATTCTAATTTTTTAAAACTTGTCGATAATTTTTCTACAAATTATCACATCTACTACATATCTTCACTTTCCATCAAATTTTCAATTAATTAGAACCTAAATTTGCATTTTCTCTTATCAAATTGTGTACATAGAATGTGTCTGAATTTATTATATCCAATTTGACTTATATTTAACGAATTGTGTTTATTTGATTGATTATTATTATCGAATATTGTTTATACGTTTTTTTCTTTCGATTACTTGAATCTATTATTTGTATCAAATACACTATAAATTTTTTAAACGTAAATATGCATTTTCTTGTGATGAGTAAAATATTAATAAAATGGCAGCTTGAAATCAAGTAAATAAAAATGGTCAGCAAAATATTAATGAAGAAATATTTTTTTTAAATGTAAATTTACATTTTCTCGGGTCAAGTGTGAATCATAAGTATGAATCATTCAAAAATTAAGAACAATGTATTGATTTGTATAGGATTTGATAGTGCCCATAACTCAAAATATCTGCGTCAGACCTTAATCGAACGGATCACATGTCGAGTTTAATTATGTAGTATAATTGTGCGGAGAATTAAATTACCACTTAATTGTAAGGTATTTCATGTAATTCCCTCGACAGGATTATGTATTTCTTTTCGTGGGTTTAATGATTCTTTTATTCATCATTGGATAAGAAAAATTTAATTGATCAAATATTTCAATGAATTGGGAGCTTGAGAACAAGCGAAGTAATGACACAAATTTGTGTCAAGAACCTTCGCCTTGAAAAATGGGTTGAGTGACTATTTAAATATTTTTTGTTCAACAATTAATAATCTAAGCTCAGTATTTAAAGACGACTAAACTTAAAACATATGTGATTGATTCACATGACCATTGAAAAAAAAATGAAACTTAAACGCACCCTTAAGTTAATGAGAATAACTAGAGGGACAAAATTATCATCTGCATCATTACCTAATTATTGGATCTCGATAGGGATGAAATACATATACGGTAAGTCAGAGAAAAAAATTTGCAAATACTTTAGCTTATGCCATTTTATAGATTCCATGAGTCCGGTCTTTTGTTTTTAGTGAAAAACAAGGATTAATAATTATATTGGATGGTGAGAGATTAAATGAATATGATCTAATTACTGGAGTTTGGATAATATATGCCTGAATAGATCCATATGGTAGTTCGGTAAGATTTTGGACTCAATTGCAATTACTTGAAAAGTTCTGAACTTGATTATAATTGTAATTAAAATTCAACTACTACATGTGCAATTAAACCTATGGCTTAATTAGTGTTTGACTAAACTTTAAAAGGGACCGAAAATCATAAAATCGAAAATCTTGTTTTCTTGATTTTTTCTTGGACCATCCATTTTAACCGGAAAGAGTGTACAAACGTCGTTGCAGTATTTACTTTAAATAAAATTATAGAAGATTTGAAGCACCAAGTTCTTGAAATCAACAGTTGAAAGTTCTAAATCTAAAAAGGCTAAAAATTTGTAATTCAGATCCGATTAAGAACTTGATTATCATATTTAGGTAAACCATAATTTTTTTTTTAATTATTATAATATACACGTTGAACATCTAATAAAGATATTGGTTTCTTGAATAAAAGAAAATAATTTTTTCGCTTAATTCTTATTTCACTTTCCAACACTGATTGCTACAAGATTGAGTAGTTTTGATGAGATGAGATGAGATTGTAAGTAGGATTAGAAGAACAAGTTGTCAAGAGAATAATTATTTCTGGTAAATAGGATACTGATTTACCAACCAGACAGTTTTAGGGAAGAAATATAGAAAGCAGAGGATAAGAGAGAGTTAATGAGTCGTTACCTTATCCACAGTAATGACTTTTCTACACTCACTTTTGAAGCATACACGAGCCAAGTGACTAATTCGATAGGCCACAAAGGAAAGGAAGGAGCACTGGGCCATTGCTAGAGTAGTGTTTGTTGGGTGGATCATAATGAAATCAACACACTTGTCAAATATCCTGCTGTTAATATGGACAGGATAGGGGGAGACCGACCTACCGTCTAGGAAAGAAAATACCTAATCACTTAGGGGACAAAAGAAAATAAGAGCCTGTTTGGTAACAATTCTCCTTTTCTACAGTAAATCACTTCTCATTTTCAACCACACATTCTTCAATAAAATAATATTTTCCATCACATCAATACTTTTTTCTTCTTTTTCAACCACACATTTCCCATCATATCACTATTCAAAAATCAATTTTTCTCCTCTTCTCATTTTCAATCACACATTCTTCAATAAAATAATATTTTCCATCACATCAATACTTTTTTCTTCTTTTTCAACCACACATTTCCCATCATATCACTATTCAAAAATCAATTTTTCTCCTAAAAATCTCTACCAAACACACTCTAATTCAAAGAATTCATATTTTATGCCCATGTGTGCTTGTCGGTTCAGATTAAAATCAATTTTTTAGTACATTTTGATGAAATATATGATTAATAAATTGTGAAGCTTATTAAGGGTGTGTTTGAGTCACATTAATTTGAAAGAATGTATTTTGAAATAATAGATTGATGGATAATGTGTGGTCGAAAAAGAAGAAAAAAATTATTGATGTGATGAAAAATATTATTTTATTGGAGAATGTGTGGTTGAAAATGAGTAAAAGAATGAGAATGAAAAAAGAATGTGGCCCAAACAGGAGCTAAATATGTATTTAAAATTAAGTCCCCTGTTTGGGTTCCATTAAAAACAAATTTTGAAGTAAATGCATTTTCGAAAAGTAATTTTTTCAAGAAAATAAGGAAAATTTTTGGGTTTACGTATAATATTATTTTATTTGAGAATGTGTGATTATAAATAAGAGAAAAAAATGCATTTTTGAAATAATGAAATCCAAACAATGACTAATTATTGACTTTGAATTAAATAAAAATCAAGATTTTAATCGGCGATTAAACAAGGACTAGGTTAGGAACTCCATTTTTATTATATTCCATAATTATTTGAATTCGATAAGGATTCTAACAAAAAAAATACTTAAGTATTCCGTCCATCTGGTCAAAATAATTTTAAGAAATCGAATTAAAATAATAATATTTTTGAATTATCCAAATTAGTTGCTTCTATGATGATTGTTGGGTCGACTAAAATATTTGATTTTGTTGCACATTGAGTTGATTAACAATATCTTATGCGAAAAAGTAAGATTTATGAAATTACATTCATACTTTATTCCCGTTAAGAGTTTCGGTTTGATTTTGCTTCATCAATTTAAAAAAAAAAAAAAAATCTTTTTGACATTAAATTGTGTATATTATTATAATTTATTTAAAGTAGCTACACCCAAATAATGTGTTATACAACTATTGGAGCATATATTTCTTATATTTCTAAGTCCTAACTCGACAAATTTATAAATAGTTTATAAATAAAAGAGTAATGATTATAATAAATAGAACTGATCTCCTATCTTTAGTGAATATGATAAAAACTTTTCATTATTGGTGTAGCAAAATGAATCATAAGTATGATTATCTAAATATACGACTGTTGCATGGAATAATAAGTAAGATTTTCCTGTCACATCAACAATAAAAATTTTATCTTGCCCATTTGATCTTATAAAATGCATAGTTATAACTTAAAAATAATGTTTGATTGGACCAAATTTATAAATTACTTGCCAAATGAAGGCTAAATTTCCCCGATAAAAAAATTGAGAGAGGATGAAGATTTAATGGTGCGTTTGATTGTCAATATTTTTCATGAAAATGTTTATTTTTCATTTAATTTCCTACTTTTATGCTGTTTGATTGATAATTTTTTCTATGAAAAATATTTTTCTACTTTTGGTTACATAACAATATTTTCTTTAAGAAAAAATGATTTTTATTTTTCAAGTAAATTCATTCTCTCTCTCTCTCACATCTACCCAATATTAAAAAATTAACAAGTATAATTTTTTTAAGGCTGAAATCCAAATTAATCAAATACATTTAATTAATAATTTTCATATAAATAAATTCTAGGCAATTGAATTATCTAAAATTTATTTTCTTTCAATGCAAATTTCATACTCGGAATCAAACGCACCATAATATCCAAATGGAATGACATCTAAACCTTCGAGGGTGGGTTTATGCGATAATAAATTTTTATTTTTTAGCCAAAACGAAGTCTAAAAATCTTGCTTTATATTCCATTTAGTATTTTACACATCATCAAATGAGTTTAAAAAACTAATAAAATACTAGTATAATATTCACAAAAATGAAAAAAAAAAAAATAGACCAGTCATAACAAAGCTTTAAAAAACTGCAGCTTTGTCGTGTTGTACGTAGACTCTCTCTTCTCAGTCAACTTTACCCTGATTTGTCTTGTACCCTGGGTCTGCTGCTGCTCGGAAAATAAGCTCTTAACCACCACCAAACGACGTCGTTAAAGCACCCAACCAATCCACGACACTTGTCCATCATTTTCCTCACGAAAAATCTCCCGTCATCGTCTTCAAGCTCCACCATAGGCTGCAGGTACGCCCACGCCGCATGCTGCACTAAAGGATCCTTGATCGGAATCTCCTTCCAGCTGTCCATCCGAATTGTCACAGGAGATCCGATCGAAGTCGGCGATGCCGAAAGTATGTCTTTCAGGCTGGTGTAGCTTGAATTTTGAACCGGAGTCATCTCTATATCGGAATTTTGAAATTGATTAATGCCATTGGCTACGAGAAATCGGCGAGATTGCGAGCACTTCATCAGTGGAAATTCAAAATCACAGCAAGGATTAAGGATCTGAGTTTCCATCCAACTTTTTCCAGGTGAGTGTGTGTCCGTGTGTGGAGAGAATGGGAAGAAGAGAAGGTGAGTGTGTGTAGTAAATGTAGGTAAGTGAAGGAGATGAGTAGGGTCCACGCGCAATGGGAAAGGAGAATTTGTAAAGACACGTGCTCAGGTAGCAGTTAGTTGATGGTCCAAGCGCGTGGATTGCGTCGATCAAATGTCTTCGCGTGTTAACCTTTGAATTTTGGTATTAAATAATTTGAATAAGAATGAATTGGGCGATTTGGATATTTTAAGAAATTTTAATTTAATTTATTATCTATGTTTTTCACACGGCTGGTTAAATAAAGAAAAATAGAAAGTGTAATTTACTTTAACATCACCGATAGTAATAAATCACATACTTCATTGTCCAATGCAAAAAAGTATATAAGAACTACATTGAACCATGATCAAGGATCAATTGTCATCTAACTAGCGATACATATCTACTATTGATAGATAATAATAGTATTCAAATAGAAATAGGTTGATTGTCTTAATGTAATGCCCCAAATATTGGGAGCAATCCTAGTCATCGACAACGCATTGCATATAGGTAGCAAGGGGGTGACTATGCCCCGAGGGTGCGAGAAAGGGCCCAATGTTCAATTGAAATTCTTCAAGTATATAAGTTTGTTGACAAGTCACAGTAAAAATGAGTAAAGAGTACTATCCGTCGAGAATTTCAATTTGTTGCTCAAGTTCGATCAGTTTAAGTTTAAAATGAATAAAGACTCAATTAATGGTTTTGAACTTGAGAAACTATTATTCTAACTAAGTTATACTATGTATTTAAACTAATGCAAATGAAAGTTTGGAGAAAAACGTGCTAAGAATCTAATACTATCATTAATATTCGTTATAATATCCAAAATCTCATCTTAGCCCAATTTACGCTTAGAATGACCATCACTAATCTTATATTATATAACAACTTCTTCCTAATAGGTTATGTTAATAGTCAATTGTGATCTATACCTATTTTGAACTTCCAGAAAACAAAATAAGTCACGAAAACGTTTAAATGTTGATCATTCATTCAAATGGTAATTTAAATATTCTTGATTTGGAATTGAAAATTTCAAGCAGATGATTGGAATTTCACAGAGACTCATTGAAGACATTCAAGAGGCGAAAATTCATCTTCAATCTTTTTGCAATTTGATATTTTGGAACCAATGGGCTAGCTGTGGATGGACCTGGCTGAGCAACAGCTCGTGTGATGTGCGCATTAATATCGTCTAGCTGTCTAAATGTTGAGTGGCCTGATCACATGCCCGAATAATACAATCCTAGTCGAAGTTGATCCTACTGATGGTCCGATGAAAAGACTACTGCACATTCCTGATGATGGCTACATCTTGCTGTAATGCCCATATCATCCTAGTTTTTTTCATCTGATTTGCTAGGAAATGACGAAGGAAGACAATATTATTGCTAGCCGACTCCCGAGCAGGTTGCGAGATTGTTGTGATAGGGATGAAGCTCGTAGGGCCATGTGGGTTATATAGTCTGCTCCCTCCTCTGTCGAATGGATCAGAGTGAGCTAGTCATTGTCCTCCTATCAATCGGTGGTGCCTCCACGTCTGCTGCTAGCTCATTCGATAACAACAAAGTATCATTGACATGACATCAAGTCTCTTTTGGGTTATGGGTGAAAAATAAAAAACACTATAAAATCGTTGATCTTCTCCTCAATGAAGAAATTTTTAAATTTTGTATTTTTCAAGGTTAAAAGTTATCATTTTCATTATTGTTGTTGTTGTTGTGTCAACCTCATAGTGGTCGTTCTATACAATCCATATTTAACAGATAGCGTCTATTAAACACATAATGCAATATGTTTGAAGTTTGATAACATACTCCCGCTTGCATTTTGGATAATTCCACTTGTATACGAGATTTTCCCCTTTATAAGTACTATTTTCTATTTTGATCCATGTCAAGGAGACAAGTGCCTCCTGTACATGTAGCACATTCCTTGCATTTTTAACGAACTTTGTTAAGAGAGAACTCCATTCGAAGTTTGTTAAACAAACAATTAACTCCACGGAATAAAAGGATATTTTAGACTTTCTAAATTATAAGAGGCCATTTACAGTTAAATATTTAAATATAAATTCTTTTTCTATCAAAATATTCAATAAATGATAAAGAAAAAGAACAAAAAATAAAACATTTGTTCGCGGGTCAAAATCATTACTCCCACTTATTTTGCCCCCTTTTAACTAGGCATGTATAATCAATTCCCCACACTAAAATACCCCCAAATAAGAACACTTTTTAGTAGGGCAACGAGCGCAGAGAATTCCTCAAACAAACCTAATTGTAAAGACAAATATTTTTCAGATTTTGATCGCGGAATTGGCAGAATCCGACCGTCACCGACGCTCTCTCTCTCTAACATACACTGATTACAAGTAGTTTGAATGGAAACTGACACGTGGTGGCCTACAAGAATGACACACAATAATTATAGCTGCTCTCTACCGCACCTTCTTCCTTAACTTTCCATGGTTAGTGCCGCTCTTCTTCACATTGTAAATCCCCCAATATCCATATCAAATCATCGTACAGTGCAATACACGGGTAAAATATTTCAAACTGTTCATATAGCGTATTGAGTACTATTCTTGTATATTATGGCTATTTAGTTAAAATTGGAACTTCCCATCTTTTTCATGTTTCTGATATTGTTGAATCAGTGATTTTCATGATTTGATGTGGGATTCTGTTGTTTATTATGAGTGATAAGATTAACGCAATTTTGGAAACCAGAATCAATGAAGACGATTAATGATTTTATTAATTGGTAAAGGTTGATTCTTGTTTTAGATTTACATGTTCTAGGTATCTACTATTTTGATCTTTACATATCTTGAGGCGTATATGGCAACTCGATCTATTATTTTGAATTGGGTGCATTGCATGAGAGCTTAAGCTGCTATGCCTTAGATCTATAAATTATTCAATTTGAGTTTCATGTTGACTTGCAGACATTCATGTCCACTTTCAAAAAGTTTTGAGTTTGCTGGATTATCTTGTTTCCAACTTTTTTTCCCTTGAGCAATTCAATATCTGTAAAAGTTCGTCAACTAACTTTTTGGAGAAAGACACAAAGCGAAATGAACGAATTGTGAAAGCTCATTACTATATTGCTTTCTTGATATTTTGTTCTGTCCCTTTCAGATATCTGCCTCTCCTTTTTTACTAACTGCCACGAGTATATTCAATTTTGATATTGCACACAGAAACAAAGAGCTTCTTCTGCTAAGTTAACATCTATTCGGATGAGGGAAGACAATAATGTTGAGTACGTTGGTTTGGAGGATGGTGTTTCTCCCAAGTTACAAAACTTCAATAAGGTTTCAATTATACCTCTTGTTTTTCTGATATTTTATGAGGTCTCTGGGGGACCTTTTGGAGTTGAAGATAGTGTCCAGGCTGCTGGTCCTCTTTTAGCCTTGCTTGGCTTTCTACTTTTCCCATTGATATGGAGTGTACCAGAAGCCCTAATAACTGCAGAATTGGGTACCATGTTCCCCGAGAATGGAGGTTACGTGGTTTGGGTTTCATCGGCTTTGGGTCCTTACTGGGGATTCCAGCAAGGGTGGATGAAGTGGCTAAGTGGAGTTATTGACAATGCGCTTTATCCTGTTTTATTTCTAGATTATCTGAAATCAGGTATACCGATTCTAGCAGATGGTTTCCCTCGGATTCTGGCAGTGCTTGTGCTGACTTTAATGCTCACTTACATGAACTACAGGGGTATGACCATAGTTGGATGGGTTGCTATATTGTTAGGGGTGTTCTCTCTACTTCCTTTCTTGTTGATGGGAGTTATAGCGATTCCTGAATTGAAGCCTTCAAGATGGTTTGTGCTGGATTTGAACAATGTGGATTGGGGATTGTACTTAAATACTCTGTTCTGGAATTTAAATTATTGGGATTCAATCAGTACTCTAGCTGGTGAGGTTGAAAATCCGGGTGGAACACTCCCCAAGGCTCTATTCTACGCCCTTATATTGGTCGTACTCGGATACTTTTTTCCCCTTCTCATTGGCACGGGAGCTGTTCCCCTTGATCGTCAGCTGTGGAGTGATGGGTATTTCTCTGACATATCAAAAATTCTTGGTGGGGTATGGTTGAGATTTTGGATTCAAGGGGCTTCTGCTCTATCAAATATGGGAATGTTTGTGGCTGAGATGAGCAGCGATTCATTTCAACTTCTTGGGATGGCTGAACGCGGGATGCTTCCTGTGTGTTTCGCCAAGAGGTCCCGCTATGGAACTCCTCTTCTCGGGATTTTGTTTTCTGCATCAGGCGTGATATTGCTTTCATGGCTTAGCTTTCAGGAGATTGTTGCCGCGGAAAATTTCCTTTACTGTTTTGGAATGATAATGGAATTCATAGCTTTCATCAAGCTAAGAATTAAGAACCCAGCTGCATCTCGACCGTACAAGATTCCCGTAGGTACTACTGGATCAATTCTATTGTGTATTCCTCCTAGCCTCTTGATATTGGTGGTCCTGGCTATGGCATCTTTCAAAGTAATGGTTCTTAGCCTCTTGGCCGTCGGTATAGGGCTTGTTCTGGAGCCTTGTTTAAGGTACAGTGAGAAAAAAGGATGGTTCAGATTCTCTTCGAGTTCTGATCTTCCAGATTGGGATTGCAATAATCACAGGGCCTTTGAGCCATAGACTGAACAATTGAACTTCTATGTTGATGGTGCAAAGTTGAACTTTTATTTGCATCTAGCATTGTGATGGTTTTTTTCCTTGGCAATTTAGATAATAAACATGTTAATGGTGTAAAGTGAGATTTTTATTTGCCTCTAGCATCGTGATGGTTTTGTCCTTGGTAGTTTTGATAAATAAACTATTTACTAGCATTTTTCTTCTTATTTATTTGTAAATGAGGTACTGACTCGCCAGCTTGGCTCTTCAAAAATTTAATTTTCACTTAAAATTATTTTCTGTAAC